CTCCTCCCCTCCTCCTCCTCCTCCTCCTCCTCCTCCTCCTCCTCCTCCTCATCGTCCCCTCTCCTCCCCTCCCCTCCCCGTCCTCTCCCCTCCTCCCTCCCCCCCTTCCCTCCCTCCTCCTCCTCCTCCTCCTCCTCCTCCTCCTCCTCCTCCTCCTCCTCCTCCTCCTCCTCCTACTTCCTTCTCTTCCTCCTCCTCCTCCTCCTCCTCCTCGTTTCCCTCTCTCCTCCCTTTTTCTCCTCATGTCCTCCTCTGCTCCTTCTCCCCCCTTTCGGTGCACGTGCGGGGCGTGCCCTCCAGCTGCAGCCTGCCGGATGTCGCGGCGCTGCTCGCAGGGGGCGGCGCCGGCGCCCCGTTCTGCTACCGCGTGTCCGACGGCGTGGTCGCCGCCGAGCTCGAGTCGGCCTGGGCCTCAGGAGGAGCAGAGTGGGAAAACGAGGGAGGAGGAGGAAGGAGGAGGAGGAAGGGATGGAGAAGGGAGGAGGGAGGAGGGTGGAGGAGGAGGAGCGGGGAGGAGGGGGAGGAGGACTGCTTCGCCTGACAATCTGAAGCTAAGCCGTTCCAGAACACCGTTCCTGCAATTTCAACAATGAGGATCCTTGAAACTGTTGTACATGTTTAAAGCGAGTACCCGCGGTGCTGAGGCGAGAGCCGCATTTTGAAAAGTAGCCGCCCTCCATGTTCTAAATAGCTGTAAACTGGTAGAACGACTGTGCGGGGCGCTAGGACAAGAGCCACATGTTGAAAACCAGCTGGTATTCATGTTTGAAGCGAGTTAAACGAATGCGCGCGGCGCCAAAGCGAGAGCCACATTTTGAAAATTGCTCGCCCTCCATCTTGCAAGTGGTTGAGAATTCCTAGCTTCAGGATCAGCAGTGGTAAGGAAACCTCAGGCGAAGCGCCCGGCCCGCCGTACCGACACGTCTGGGGGTAGGGAGGTATCTATGAGAAAACGGTATTGTGGAGAAGGAGGAGGAGGCGGAGGAGGAGGGAGAGCGGAATGGAGGAGGGAGGAGGGAGGAAGTTCGTAGGAGTGAGGACAAGAGCCCCAGCGTCAGGGGCACCGTCAGGAGCCAGAGGAGGACAAGGGAACCGATGCCAATACCTTTCGTCCGTTTTCGCCTTTTGGGGTCTCCTGAGAGGCCCTCGTCGCCACGGCTGGATTCGCCTTGAAGTTCCTGGTTGTTCTGGCTACACTTCTGGGGGGAACAACGGCATCAGCCTCTCGTGGCTCCCAGGGGGGAAGAGGGGATCGGCGTTCTGCCGCCGCGTTTCGGGCAGCGTGGTCGCAGCCGAGCCGAAGCTGGCCAGGGCCCCGGCTCCCCCCGGGCCGCCTGCCGCGAAGCGGGGCGACACTCCTCCTCCTCCTCCTCCTCCTCCTCCTCCTCCTCCTCCTTTTCCTCCTCCTCCTCCTCCTCCTCCTCCTCCTCCTCCTCCTCCTCCTCCTCCTCCTCCTGGGGGGGGGCAGCCAAGGTGCGCAAAATGTGGGAGAAGCGGCGAGGAGCCGCTCGTGATCCACAGACGCTCCTCGGCATCGCTCGGACGTGTGCATTCTTTCCTTCGGCGAGGACCATCGAGGAGCATCCCTGGTCATTTGGCGGAAAAGCCACGCAAGAAACCGAAAAACGCACAGGCAAATGGACGTCCGAGCGATGGCGAGACTCAGGCGATCGCAGACATGGATCAAGGGGGCGTGGATTAGCGACGGGTCCCGCTTCCATTGGAAATCGCGGCTATCCGCACTCGAACGAGGCGGCACCGGCCGCCTTTTGGGGAGGGCAGCTCCCCCGATCCGTGGATGTGGCGACCGCGTGCCAAAACCATGGATCGCTAATCCATGTTTGCGCGCCCCCGAAACACTTCGCACTGCCTGCAAACAAACGGACTGCCGATCCGCCTCCGGTCGTGCTGGGGCTCTCTCTCATGACCAGCTCGAGCTTCGGGGAAGCCGCTCGGAGCGAGGGCGTGGCATCGCTCGGACGTGTGCATTTTTCCTTCGGCGAGGGCCATCGAGGAGCATCCTTGATCATTTGGCGAAAAAACCACGCACGAAACCGAAAAAAACACAGGGAATGGACGTCCGAGCGATGGCCAGAGGGGCAGGCAGGCGGACGCGAACATCTCGACGGATCGGCGTGGATGGACGCGGCCATGGCTCCACGCGCCCTGCTTCCGAGGCGGGAGTGTATGCATGACCACCGCTTGGAGGATCGGTGTTGGAGGGCCTCGGCAGGGGGTGGATGTGAATATATTCGGGCCCCCGGGGGCCCAAATGAAATTATCCATATCCACCGCCCGCTGGGGCACCAGGACGTCGTTTCCCGGGCGGTGGATATGGACAACAAATCCCCGCCTCGCACTCGGAGAATCGGGGAGGTCTCCGTCGGGGTCCAGCAGATCTGGATTGGATCTGGGTTTCGAGCATCGGACGCACGACCGATTCGGAACCAGAGGTCGGCATTCGCATTCCTGAACTTTTAGAGTCCTCGGGCGCAAAGGTGCGAAAGCGGTCAGGCGCTGGTCGGCCTTCGCACATGCAAACGACGTGAACGACAAGGACCTACGCCGACCTCTGGCCCAACCGTCTACCAGAGGTCTGTGATTTGTCACGTAGCGGAGCGAGCTTGCACTGGCCTCAAAGGCCTCGGCGAAAGCCGTGGGCTCCAGTCGGGGAACCGACTGCCTGCGACCCGTCAAGCTGCACCACACGCCCGCCATTGGGGCCCATCCACTTGCTGGGAGGGCTCCCAAGCCCGCAACCCTTGGGTCGATTCTCCTACGGCGCGGATCCGAGGAGTGCGCTCTGGGGAGGAGGAAGGAGAGAGGAGGGAGGCGGGAGGATGGAGGAGGACTACGTGGTCGCAAACCGGTCATATAAGGCCGATGTTCAAAAGATCGAGGTTTGTGGAAGTACTTCACTTTTTTTAGGAGGGCCTCCAGAAGCACTTCTCGTCCCCACGGCTGGACTCATCGTGCAATGATGGCCACAGCGTACCCTTGGAGAGGTCCGAGAGGTGATTCTCGAGCGAGGCGGCCAGAGGACAACGGGGCCTCTCAGCTTGCTGTTCGTCCTGGATGGACTCATCGACATACAGCCAAGTCGCTGAAATAAGGAACAGTTTGGGTAAGAAAGGGGCTCGATATTCCTTAGGTCCTTCAATGGCTTTTCCTCTGGCCCTCCTCGTGCATGCAGGCGCCTGTGGGGCCAAAAAGGGGTGTCGTTCCTTGTTTATCGTTCCTTCTTTCAGCAGCCCGACTGTTGTCGCGCATTGCAGATGGACTGCGTACTTCCCTGGGCAATTCTTCACGAGGGGGAGGGCGGGGCCTCGGGGGGGGCAGAAGCGGTCGAGGGGCCTGCACAGGAATCCTCCTCTTCATCCTCCTCCTCCTCTTCCTCCTCCTCATCCTCCTCCTCATCCTCATCCTCCTCCTCTTCCTCCTCCTCATCCTCCTCCTCCTCATCCTCCTCCTCCTCCTCCTCTTCCTCCTCCTCCTCCTCCTCAGAGAGGGGACAGGGGAACCGACACGTCTCCATCGCCATCCTGCCGAATGCGCCCCTGAGCCACAGCGTGCCCCGCGGAGGGCCAATCGGGGCACCACCGCCACCGCCTCGACGCTCGCGTCCGGCTCTGCCTCGCCAGCTGTCGGAAGGGACTCCTGCTCCAAGGGCGCCCTCGAGGGCGCGAAGTCATTCGCGCTTCGCGCTTCGCGGTTCGGCTCCGATTCCTCTTCATCCTCCTCTTCTCCCCTGGGAGGCGGCGCGAGAGCGCGAAGTGATTCGCGCTTCGCGCAGCGCGCAGCGCGAAGTTGGGAGCCCTTTGTGCTCCCTCGCCAGGGCGAGCTCTGGAGCCCACGGCCTGCCGCAGGCTCGTGCCCGTGCCGCCGTGGCGGCGGCCCCCCGCGCGGGCGTTCCAGGTGGACCGCCGCTGCCGGCCAAGAGCCGGCCCAGGCGGAACGACCCCGGCGATCGAAGAGCCGCCGATCCTTCCTGAGGGGGAGCGACCCGCGCGGCGTCAGAGGCCGACGCCGAGGTCAGTCGCCTCCACACCGCGCCGCCGTGCGAGAAACAGAGGGCCTGGCATCGCTCGGACGTGTGCATTTCTCCTTCGGCGAGGGCCATCGAGGAGCATCCTGGATCACTTGGCGAAAAAAAAAAAAACACGCACGAGACCGAAACAAAAACACAGGGAATGGACGTCCGAGCGATGGCCAGAGGGGGGAAGGCCCAGACCTCCGACGGCCCGAGGCAGGCCCGCGAGGCCCTCGGCCCCAGCGCTCTCGGCCCCTGTCCCCAGGGGACCGGGGCGCCCCTCTCGCTGGACCCCGCCCAGAGGGGGGGGGGAGGGTGGGGGCCGGAGACGGCCGCCGGAGGCCGGAGACGCCGAGGAAGCCTCGCGCCCGAGATCTTCGAACCTCGGAAGAGGAGGAGGAGGAGGAGGAGGAGGAGGAGGAGGAGGAGGAGGAGGAGGAGGAGGAGGAGGAGGAGTCAGACGAGGAGGAGGAGGAGGAGGAGGAGGAGGAGGAGGAGGAGGAGGAGGAGGAGCCGCTGCGATGGGCCCCCTGGCCACGCCTCGAATCAAGGAAGGGAAGTCCACCCAGACCCCGACAACTGGCGCTCTTGCTGCCCGGCCCCGGGCGTTGACTGAGCAGTCCCGCCCCGTTTGATGATGCCCCTGGGTGCGTCTGCTGAACGGCCTCGCTTGTCGGGGTGCCTGCTGCGGGGTCGGCTTTTCTGCCCTCGACCGAAGAACCAGAGAAGAAGCAGAAGCATGCGCTGTCCGAGGGCCGCGTGGATTTCTTGGACCGGCACTGGACCCCCTCCCCTGTTCGGGGGTGGACAGAACCCCCAACAGTGACACGTCGATTAGTGAAATGTCCGTTTTCGGTTCTCGAGAGGGCGCCGTGGCCGTTACTTCCCAGGCTTGCGCTTGCCAGGTTTGGGCCTCAGGTCGATTTCACTAAACCACGTTTTACTAAAGGGAGGTCTGTCCATCCCCGACCTGTCCGCGCCTCCAGCGCCGCCGCTGGCGCGCTCTCTGCGCGCCAGGAGCGAGGGTTCGAGCGCCGATCCAGGAGGTCCGCGTGGAGCTCCGACAGGCCATGCTGACGCGAGCGCCCCGTCTTCGGGGCGCCCCCCGAGCGCTCTCGCGAGGCGTCCGCGGTGGAGGCGGCCATCGCCTTGACTGGCAGGGTGCTCGCGCCGCCTCAGACGGGCCACGTCAGGTTCCCCGGCGAGGCCCCGCGCTAGTCGGCCACAGGTCAGCGAGCGAAGAACGGTATAAAATAAACTTTTTCGCTGTCGGGGGCGCTTGTCCCTGGGCGGCTGGAAAGTTTTATACCCCCCTACGGTGGCACCGTAGGGGTATAAACTTTCCAGCCGCCCAGGGACAGGCGACCCCGACAGCGAAAAAGTTTATTGTCTACCGTTCTTCGCCCGTTAAACAGAGTGACCCTTCCTGGCACGCTCCCGTCATGGAAGCTTCGGCGCACGGGGCCAGGCCCGGGACAACCAAGAAAAGCAAGTCGCGATGCATGCAACACATTGTCTTGGGGAAGGGAACGGGCATTCTGGGACCCCCGTGCAGGACATCGCACGTCTCGGTTTCGCCGGAACCACTTTTGCTTCGGGCCCACGGGGGTCCCCCGAGCCCTGGCCTGCGCTCGGACGTGTTTCCCCCCCCCCCGCGGCCCCCGTGAACCGTGCGCCAAGGGCCACCCTTGCATGGGTTCGCTCTCGCGTGTAGCTGATCTTCCACCCACGCCCCATCCTTCCAGTCCGCTTAACCCTTTCAGGCCTCATTCCGATCCGACCGATCCAGTTCGATCTCGATTCCAACCGTCTCGATCTGATTCGATGCCGATGATCCGTTGCGGCCCGATGCATGCATTTGACCCTTACTCGTCCACAGTCTGACGACCCTTGCTTAGAAGGCTTGTGGCGCCTAAGTTGCTGGCGTGGGGGGGGCCTGCCGTGCCAGTAACGACCCGCGATTCTTGGCGCGGACCGCCCCTCGCAGGCCAGTGTAATGTGCGGGGGGATTACTGCTGGTGACCTTATGGTTGCCTCGTCCTCGCCCTCGTCCTCAGTATCTTCCCGCTCCTCCTCCTCCGTAGCCATTTTGGCTCTAGCTGATGAGTTTGTGCGATGTTTTTTTTTTTCTGACGGGTCGTCAGCAGTTGACGACCCACCAGCCGACCTTGTCGATGTTTTCAGCGATGGTGAGGATGGGCCCGCGGCTGACGCATTGCATCAAGTGGTTCCAGCCCCAGCAGCACCACAACAGCAGGATCACGCAGCGGGCGGCGTCGTCGGCGACGGCGTCATTGCAGTGCGGCCGTTGCCGAGCAGGCGTGGCCAATGCGGCCAGGGGCGCCATGGCAATATCAGCGACCGCCGGGCGGTTTCGTACCACATGCATTTCGCCAAGTGCCGCAAGCGAGCTGTCAATCTTCAGCGTTCCAAAGTAGAAGATGTTCTTAGTTTCGATCGTTCGTTGAAGCCGAGAGTGAAGAAGTGGGCATTGCGACTCGTTTTGCATCAGAGTTTCCTGTCTCGTCGCCATGGTCCTGTACGGCTGAAGGTGCGCCGCTACAACGCCGAGACTAGCACGACGGAGGAAACGAGCCGCCTCCTCCATCATGATGCGATCTTGGACGTTACGTACAGCTGGGGGGCTCACCCTGCGACTGTGGCTGCAGTGCATGACATCAGTGTCCAATGGGTCAGGTGCTTGCGTCAGGTACTGGCGTTGGCTTATTTATCCTACCAGAACAAGGCGCTGGGCGGGCTGATCAGCGCGGCCAGACTGCGCCAGCCGACCTTCTGCATCTCCCGGCTGGCGTTTGATGAGACAGGCGAGCGCCTCACAGTGCCGTTGAGCTCGGAGTCGGCTGAATGCGCGACGTGGCACATCCTTGTAGCCCGCCTGACGATCCACGCGGGCTGGGGCGACGAGAACAGCGGCATGACGGTCGTGAAACACAACGTCGTCTTGCCGAACCTGATCGCGTCGGCGCCCACTGCCGCGCATATATATGCGCAGCTCTACCGCCACAAGGCACTGACGCCCGTTTTCGCGGCCCTCCGTCTACTCCAGGAGTTGTCTAAGCACGCGGTGGCCATCGTGGAGACAGACGCTGCCGGGGCCAACGACAAGTTATGGGCCCACATGCTCGCCATCTCAGCCGGCTCCGACATCCTCGACTGCAGGTTCTAGGGTTGCCCGAACCGCGCCTCATCCAACACCGACCTCACATCATCCTCATCATCCTTATGATCATCAGCATCATCATCATCATCCTCATCATCACCACCATCTTGGGACCATTCCCCCCTGCCCCCCTGCCCAGAGGTTCGTGTGCCGCTTGCACGGCCTCCAGCTCATCGAGACCACGATGCTGGCGGTGGTGGCTGGGCAGCTGCTGTGTCGGCTCTACAGCTTGGGTCACTCGGGAGCGAACCCAGGGGCCCCGGGAGGAGACGGGATATGCACTGACGAGGGGGGATGATGGCGGGAAGGAAGGGAGAAAAGGTGAGGGGGGGAGAGGAGGATAAGGAGGTGGAGGAGGAGGAGGGGAAGGAGGAGGAGGCGGAGGAGGAGGAGGAGGAGGAGGAAGTGCGGAGTAGCAGGCCCCCCCCAGTCGACCCAGGTCTGCTCTTCATCAAGACTGCCTACTTCAGTAACCTGGTGCGGACAGTGCCTGACATCCTGTCCAGCGACAGGCTGGTCATCGCTCGCGCGATGACGCCTGGCTCCCTGGACTACGCGTGCGAGGTCGGGAAACGCGGGAAAACTGCGACGACGACGACGACGACGACGAGAGTCAACCACCAAGGGATGGTTCGCTTTGAGAGCGTCTTGGAAGCCTCCTGGGCTCTTGAGGCCATCGCGGGGCCCTTCGTGGGTGAGGGTACGGCGGCGGCAGAGGGGCGCTCGACTAAGTCGATCACCTCTCCTGTCATCCGGGGCTCCTCCTCCGCCCTTCTCCCCCGCTCCCCCTGCCCCCCCCCCCCTTCTCCTGCTCCTCGCAAGCCCCGATCCACGACGCCCCGCCCCGTCATCCACGCAGCCCCCCTCCAGCAGGTCATCAATTTCGCCGCCGTCCACTACAAGAACTTCCAGAAGGCCCTGGGCCAGGGCCGCCGGGGCAGGCAGTGCCGTCGGAGACGCACCGAGGCCTTCGACGGTGACGGCTCCGAGGACGACGACGCCTTCGTCGACTTCGACGCGGGCGCATACCGCATGTTCCCGGATCGGTTTCAGACAATCAGGCAATTCGGGGGTGGGCCACCCCCCTCGCCGCCCCCATCCGTTCTTCCTCCTCCGCCTCCCCCCCCAACCCCACCCCCCCTCCTCTCTTCTCGCCCGTTCTCTCCTTCCTTTTCCTCCCTGCGCTCTTCGCTCGCCCCCCTCGGCCCCTCAGCCCCTCGGCCCCTCGGCCATGGCCCTTGCTCGTCCGCAGTCTGGCGACCCTTGCTTAGAAGGCTTGTGGCGCCTGGGTTGCCGGCGCGTGGGGTCTCTCTCTCTCTCTCTCTCTCTCTCTCTCTCTCTCTCTCTCTCTCTCTCTCTCTCTCTCTCTCTCTCTCTCTCTCTCTCTCTCTCTCTCTCTCTCTCTCTCTCTCTCTCTCTCTCTCTCTCTCTCTCTCTCTCTCTCTCTCTCTCTCTCCCTCGCTCCGCCAACTCCTCGCTCGCGCGCCAATTTGCGCGCTCTCCCCGCAGGCGCGCTGGTCTGCGCAAGCACCTCTCAGCCCTGCTGGAGCTCCCGGCGGTCGCCAACGGCCCGCGGTGGCGCGGGGGGCAACGGAGGTGGGGCGGATGAGGAGTCAGCGGGGATGGAGGTGCAACGGTGGCGAGCATGTAGGAGGGGGGAGGGGTTGGGGGAGACACGCGGCGGGACAAGGGCGATCGAGGGCGGAGCGAGCGGGGTTGGAAGGCAGAAGGCGCAGGAGGGGGGGGAAAGTGAGGGGGGGAGGAGGAGGAGGAAGAGCAGGGCGAAGGAGGAGGAGGAGGAGGAGGAGGAGGAGGAGGAGGAGGAGGAGGAGGAGGGAGGCTTTGGTGGGAGGCTTCGGCTAGTCACTTGGCCCGAGGGGACGGGGGAGGAGGAGGGGGGAGGGGGGGAGGAGGAGGAGGAGAAGGAGGAGGAGGAGGACGTAAGAGGTGGAGGGGGAGGAGGAGTGGTGGAGGAGGAGGGGGGTCAGGAGGAGGGGGGGAGGAGGAGGGGGAGGTGGAGGAGGAGCAGGCGGAGGAGCAGGAGGAGCAGGAGGAGGAGGAGGAGGAGGAGGAGGAGGAGGATAAACTGTTGAAGACCGCCTCAGCCCTCAGCAGGTGGCACGACCGCGTGTACCACGTATGCTCGGGGGCCTCTTGCTGCGAGTCCCGGGCTGCCACTGCCAGGCGGATGTGCGCCGTTTTGAAGAAGACGGTGTTCGCCGCTCCACTGCGGCCCCCGGCCGCCAACAAGTGGGGCAAGTTGGCCCAGGCGTTGGACGTCATGGTCCTCGGCTTTGCCGTCCACCGGTTGTGGCCGCAAGCCTTCGCGCGGCTGAACCTCGAGTCCAATCAGAGGCTCGACGGCGACATGGAAGGCGACCTCGCGAAGGACCTGATGTTCGCTGCGGTCACCGGGGTCAGGTACACCGAGGGCCGTGCATTTCTGGAAGACCCTGCGACGCACAGCCGCATCGTCTGCTGCGCCTTGGTGCTGGAGCCGATGACGGCCATGACGGCGTGGCTGGTGAGGAGGGCGCGCGACGTCGACACCATCTGCAAGCGGCCACTCATGGACTTGCTCAGCGATCCAGACTCAGTCGTGCTGGCCTCCATGCAGTACCTGTCGTCCATGCTGTCAGACGATGCCCAGAGGCTCATCATGCTGTGGCGGCCCTCGCAGTGCGTTGACTTTCAGCAGCGGCTTGCAACTCGGACGAACGATGTGAGGTTGATGCGGCGGCTCACCCTTTTGATCAGTGCCTCGATCTACAGGCGATTCACCCAGATGCTTGACTCCTGCCCGCGGCTGTTCGTCTCCCTCGTCGACGCCAGGGTGCCCGAGGACATCAAGCTGGAGATCGGCGAGCGCTGGGACGCGGCGCTGCCCTGTTGCGCGCCGCCCGGCTTCGCCAGGAAGCTCAAAGGACTTCTGGGTTCAATGTCCATCCCCCCAAAGCGATCGCCATTGTCGTCGTCGTCGTCGCCATGGTCGTCGTCGTCGTCGTCGTCGTTGTCACGATCGCCG